TTGTTGAGATTTTTTTTTTCTATGTGTTACAATTCGGATAGTTTCTCTTCTGCTGTTAAGTCCATTCAGTGAGTTTCAGATATTTTATTTTGTTTTTTTGAGTCAGGGTCTAACTCTGCCATCCATGCAGGAGTACAATGGCACAGTCATGGCTCACCACAACCTCAAACTCCTGAGCTCAAATGATCCTCCCTCCTCAGCCTCCTGAGTTGCTGGGACTATAGGCACATAACACATGCCCAGCTAATTTTTAAATGTTTTATAGAGATGAGGTCTGGCTATCTTGTTCAAACTTGTCTTGAACTACTGGGCTTAAGCAATCCTCCTGCCACAGTGTCCTGGGATTTTAGGCATGAGCCACCATACCTGGCCCAGATTTTTTTTTAAGCTCTCAATTTTCTTTTGGTTCTTTTTAATAAATTATGTTTCTCATCTCATTATATTCATGCATTTCTTTAAAGTCATGAGCATAATAGCTGTTTTAAAAAATCATTGCTAATCCCATCATCTTTCCTATATATAGGTCTGTTTCTCTCTATGGAATTTGCTGTTGGTTATATGTCATACTTTCCTGCTTCTTTGAAAGCCTGATAAGTTGGTTTTTTGGGGTTTTGTAGCAAAATTCACATAACATAAAATTAACAATTCATTTGGGTTGGTTCTACCTTTTAGCCTTTGTGAGAAGTGCTGCTATGAATACTTATATAACAGATTTGTTTGAATACCTGTTTTCAATTCTCTTGTAAATAAACCTAGGAGTAGGAATGGTAGAGTATATGGTAATTCTATATTTAACTTTTAAAGGAAATATTAAACTTTTTTCCATAATGGCTGCACCATTTCACTTTCCTATCAGCAATGTGCAATGTATAAAGGTTCCAATTTTTCCAAATCCTTGCCATGATTTTTAAAAATTATAACCATTCTGGCTGGGTGCAGAGAATTGCCTGACACCAGGAATTCAAGACTAGCCTGAGCAATATAGCAATAACCTCGTCTCTACAAAACAATCAAAAAATTAGCTGGGTGTGGTAGCATGTGCCTGTAGCCTTAGCTGCTCAGGAGGATGAGGAGGGAGGACCATTTGAGCGCAGGAGTTTGAGGCTGCAGTATTCTGTTGAATACCAGAATATTCAGTAGAGACCCTGACAGGTCACACCTTAATGACATGGTTAAATTCACTCTAGAGTAAAGCCTACTCTGCATCCATCTACATCTATCAGTGGTGTTGAAAACAAACTTGAAAAGAATAAGATGATACAAAAATAGCTTAACTGCCTACCAAGACAAACGTCCACACTCTTTAAAGGGAAATAACAACAAAACAACACTTAACATAAAATCTACAATATCCAGCCATCAAAAATATGGGCCAAGGGATCTGAATAGACATTTATCCAAAGAAGACTACAAATAGGCAACAGCACAGGAAAAGATGGGCAACATCATTAGTCATGAAGGAAATGCAAATCAAAGACATATGAGCTGAGGCAGAAGGATTGCTTGAACCCAAGAGCTTGAGACCAGCCTGAGCAACATAGCAAGACCTCATTTCTGCAAAAATTTTAAAAAGTAGCTGGGCATGGTGACACACACTCATAGTCCCAGCTACTCAGGAGGCTGAGGAGGAAGGATCGCTGGAGCGATTCCCCGAGGGTCTCACCACCCTGGCTGCTTGCAGCACTTGAAAATCTCCCCTCCCTGTGTGATCTCTAGGAACTGTCCAGGCTATAGCACCTCCACACCACACCCCTGGTTGTTCTTTGCCTAGCCTCTGGAAATTTCTCCTAGTCGTCCCTGACCTAGTGCTTTGCAACAGAATCAAGAGGACTGTCACGGTTGAGTATAGTGGGCTCATACTTGTAATCCCAGCACTTTGAAAGGTCGAGACAGGAGGATTGCTTGAAGCCAGGAGTTCAAGACCGGCTTGGGCATCATTGTGAGATCTTGTCTCTACAAGAAAAAAATAAAAGACAACAGATTTTTTTTGGTTTGCTTTCTGAAATTGCAGTCCTGTGCTGCTTTATGTCCAGTTTATAGACAGCTGCTTCACATATTTCATCCAGTTTTCTAGCTGCTTTTTGAAGAAGGGCGTATCCAGCACTAGTCACTCTGTCATGACCAAAAATCTATCAGTCCTTCTTTTTCTTTTCTCTCATTTATGCCACCCCTCCAACTTTAATATTGAGGAATAACTGGAGTACCATGAACTTCACATATTTAAAGTACATGATTTGATCAGTTTTGACATAGGTGTGTACTGCAATTATGCATTTCCATCACTGCAATTATGTGTTTCCATCACCTCCAACAGTTTCTCCTGCCACTTATGATCCATACCTCCCTCCAACCCATCCTCAGGCCACCACTGATCTGTAGTTGGCATTTTCTAGAATTTGGTATAAATGAACTCCACAGGGTAGTCTACTGCTGAGTAGTCATCCATTGTATGGATGCAGCACAATTTGTTCACACACTTGCATGTTTCAACTGTTGGAAGTAACATTTGTGTTGTTTCCAGTTTGGGGCTATTACAAATAAAGCTGCTGTGAACATGTATTGCACTTCTCTGGGGGGATGTATGTTTTCATTTCCCTTAGATAAGTAGCTCGGAGTAGACTGGCTGGGTGATAAGCTAGGCATGCTCAATTTTATGTTCAATATCTTAAGAAACTGCCAATTGTTTTTCAGTGTGGAGGTAGCATTATATATACCCCATCAACAGCGTAGGGGCATCCTGGTCACTCCACACTTCACCAACACTTGGTGTGATCAGACTTCTCAAGGTTGACCATTCTGGCAGGCACTTAGTCGAATCTCACAGTTCTAATGTGCATCCTCATTCCTTTCAGGCCTGTGCTCCACTTAGCCACCAGCACTATAGGCTGCCCTGGCTTGCATCCTACCGCCCACCCAGATCTCCCTGTCATAGTCCCCAACACTGTCCCACAACTGTTTGTTACAGGTCTACAATGAAGAAAATCCAGAAATAGGAACAGTTGGAATGCCCCTCCCCCACCCCTTTTTTTGAGTTGAGGTCTTCCTCTGTCACCCAGGCTGGAGTACAGTGGCATGGTCACGGCTCATCACAGTCTCAAACTCTTGGGCTCAGGTGATTCCCCCCTCTTCAGCCTCTTGAGTAGCTGGGACTACAGGGCACACACCACCATGCTTGGTTTATTCTTAAAAATTTTGTGTAAGCCGGGCTCGGTGGCTCAGCCTGTAATCCCGCGCCTTTGGGAGGCTGAGGTGAGTGGATTGCGTGAGCCCGCGGGTTTGAGACCCGCCTGGGCAACTTGGCGAGACCTCATCTCTACAATAAATCAAAAAATGAGCCGGGCATGGTAGCACATGCCTGTAATTCTGGCTACTTGGAAGGCTGAGGCGGAAGGATCGCTGGAGCCCAGCAGGTCGAGGCTGCGGTGGCCGGGAGCGGCCACTGCACTCCAGTCTGGGCGACAGAGTGAGACTCCAACTCAAAAAAACAAAAAATTTTTTTTGTAGAGACAACAACTATGTTGCCCAGGCTGGTCTTGAATTCCTGGCCTCAAGTAATCCTCTTGCCTCGGCTTCCTAAAGTGCTGAGATTACAGGCTTGAGCCACCACATTAGGCCAGGAAACTCTTATAGCTGCAGCACAAGGTAATTTTATGATTGTTGAATCTAATTTTTAAACTGTGGGCTTTATTTTGCATGCTTGTGGCTTTTAATACTTTTCCTAGTAATTCATTTTGACTGTATTTTACAAAATTTACGATTTGCAACAGACTAGAAATTTTTTTTTAAACGCTAGGCAGTTTGGGACGCTCACTGTGAATACCGAGGCTGCTCCGGCTTTGCCTGGCCCTCCTCTGTGTCCACTCCCTAATGATCTTGCCTGACTGATGTTTTAAATGAAGACTAACATATCTTTCTAAGATTTCACTTGGATATCTAATCAGCAACTTAAAATGCCCCAATTCTTGAGTGTGTCTACTAAACCTGCTCAATCCACCGCCTTCCTTATCTCAGCCCTGTACTTCCGGAACCCTACCACGAACCTGGGAACACCTGAGAGTCTGCTTTCTCACACACCTGCAGCTCATCCCACAATAAATTTAGGGCTCTACTGCAGCCAGACCCACCCCATCAGACCTCCACCATTTCTTCCCTTCTCCTGCCACTCTTACCCCTTCGGTGTGTAGTCCACCCTGCTCCATTCACAGGAACAGCCCTCCGAGCTTTGCCCCCTCCTCGTGTGCTGATGCCCTTGGTAGGGTCCTAGCGCTCCGGTCCCGCGGGCCTTCCGGGATTCTGACAGGCCAGGCACTCTGCCATCTCGGGGCCTTTGCCCCGCCGCTGGCTCTCTCAGGTCTTCCTTCACTGCCCAAAGCGTTGCTTCCTTCCCTAACCACCTTCGCCCCGCAGCCCCCTCACCTCGCTTCACCCGTCGGACGCAAGGCCTCCGGCGAAGCAACGCCTTTCCCTGCCAGTCCAGCCACCGTCACCTCCTCCAGCTTGGCTCCCACAGCCCTCTCTACGTGGAGACCCCGGCCCCGGCTCTCCCGCTCTCAGGCTCCTTACCCGCGCCCCGAGACCTGCACGATCTAGGCACCCGCACGCGCTGGGGGCCCGGCGGCGACCTGGCGCGGCCCCGCCCCCAAACAGCTCCGAGATGGAAGGCGGGTCTGCAAGCGATGCTCCGACGGTCGGGACCACCTCAGTGGAGCTCCCAGAGCCACGTCGGAGGTGGAAGGCGCAGACAGCGGCCTTCTCGGGGAGTCAGGCGCTGGGCCAGCGGGGATCTGGGTCTCGGCGAGTGCCCACCGAGGGGGCGGTGCCGACAGGGCGGGGCGGAGGGGCGGGGCTCCGTGGCGGCCCCGGATTGGGCGGGGCTTGAGCCACAGACTCGGCCCGCCCCGCGCAGGCGCGGCGCCGCGGTCGGTTGCCAAGACGACCGAATTCAACAGTTGCTGTCCTGCAGGTGTTTAGGAGGACCCTGCGAGCCGGCACCCGGCTGCCATGTGCGCCGCCGAGGTGGACTATCACGTCGCCCAGAGATACCTGCTCAGGCGGAGGCTCGGAAAGGGGGTGAGCGCCGGGGAAGCGCCTGGGCTGCAGCTCTACGGGACGAGACCACCTGTGGAGCTTGGGCAGGTCCCCTCAGAGGTCTATTCCCTCCGACACTGGCGTGGTGACAAGGCATCGTTCCCCTCTGTGTCTCAGTTTCCTCATGGGGTACACCCAAGGATCTGGCTCCTGGAGACAGGAGACAGCCAGGGCCCTCAGTGGCATTAGGCAGAGGGATCCTAGCTTCCAACTCCCCACCCGCCCACAGTCCCCTGCTTCCGGGCTGCCTCTCCCTGCGCCCACAGGAAGCTCCGGGAAAGTTGGGCCCACCTGCCTCGGGCACTGAAGGGGAGGGTGGATCCCAGCATCAACCCAGGCCCAGGAATGCATGGGCAAGACCCAAGAAGAGCTTGAGCAGGTATATGGATGGGGTGAGCGTAGAGTGAAGGCCGGAGCCATGTGTGAGCTTGTTTGTATTTGTCAGTGTGAGTGTGTGTGAGCATGTGAGGCTGTGTATGTGATTGTGTGGGTGCGTTCAAGTGGTAATAGGGGACGGGGAGGAAGAGCATTCCAGGCAGTACAAACAGCAAGTGCAAAGGCCCTGAGGCAAGGACCTGCTTGACCTTTGGAGAAACTGCAGAGTTGGATGTAACTGGATAGGAATGAACCAGAGAGAGGGGAGGGGAAGAAATGAGTGATGAGGGGTCCCACTGTGTGAGGGGCTTTGGAGATTTCAAGGACTTTGGCTCTTAAAGTTACTGATACTGGGAGCTGCAGCAGTTGTTGGTACCACTTTATAAGGCTCAGCCTACTCAGAGAACCCTCTGTGGGGGTGAGCTGGAGTGGCAGAGGCAGATTCATTAAGAGGTTAGTGTAGCTACCAAATGGGAGATGCTAGTGGCTTGGACCAGGGTGGGGGCAGCAGAACTAGTAGGAAGAGGTCAATTCTGAATGAATCTGAAGTGTGGCCAACAGAACTGCTGGCAGGCTGGATGGTGTGAGAGAGACATTGAGGATGCCTGGGCAGTTGGAAGGGTGGACGGTCATTCCTGAGAGAGGACAGGCTCTAGTGCTGCCAGAAGTTCCCATATGTGGCCTCATTTCCTCCAGGGGCCTCTCTGGCTCTCACCCCTCACCTTGCTTCCCTTTGCCCTCCTCTGGAAGGTACCAGAGTCCTGGGCAGCAGGCTGGTCTGCCTGCAGTTGCTGGCTCCATGCTCTTATCCCCCTTCTCCCAGGATCCAGCATGGGAAGGAGTAGCCTCGAGTCTGCAGGGGGCAATCTGAATGGGCAAGGGATGGCAGGGCAAGAGGCTGGCCCTGTGGCCAGCAAGTTGATCATACTTCTCCCCAGGCCTATGGCATTGTGTGGAAGGCAGTGGACCAGAGGACTGGTGAGGTTGTGGCCATCAAGAAAATCTTTGATGCCTTTAGGGATAAGACAGATGCACAGGTAAGTGTGAGTGGGGAAGAAGTGTGGGAAAGGACAAGGGCAGGGTTGAATGACTTGTGCCTTGGTCCCTGGAAGCTCAGATGCCAGTTTGAAGCCAATCACAGAGGGTTTCCTGGTATTTCTCAGAACACCACCCCCTCCACAACTCATGCTCGTGTGGGTGTTTGGGTGCTGAATGAGTATTAGCTCCTTTGGGTCTTTTCGGGACATGGGCTTCCTTCTTGCTTCATCTGCCCCCACACCTGCATTTCTGTCTCTTCCAGAGAACGTTCCGGGAAATCATGCTTCTCCAGGTGAGTGGCCCAGGCCCTCCTGCCCATTGATATTCCCCAGGTACAGGTATCTCCAGGAAAGGGGGAAGCAGGCTCCCAGAACACAGCTCCTGGCCTTCCAGCAGCCGACTCTCTCTCTAGGAGTGTGGGGACCATCCCAACATCATCCGCCTCCTTGATGTGATCCGGGCAGAGAATGACAAGGACATTTACCTAGTGTTTGAGTTTATGGGTGAGTGAGTCCTCTGCCAGTTCCCCAGCTCCACCTCTCTCCTGGCTCCCTCTGCATGCTCGGGGCTAGCACCTTCACCTTGTACCCTGTATCCAAAAGCAAAGAGCTGACAAGCGTCAGCCTCCAGAGACTGATGGTGATCCCCTTCATCCCACCTGCATGAGACTCCTCTTTGTCCACAGTTTGCAGCTGCATTTTCCTTTTTCAACTCATTTTATAAAACAAAGCCAACATGAAATAAAATATCGAAACAATTCCACAAACCTTTATTGCTGTGCCAACAAAGTCAGTGAGCATGTCTGAGGCGTGGGTGGGCCAAGGGTAGATTCAAAGTGGAACAAGCCTCCCAAGGTCCCCCGTTGGCCCCTGGGCTGACTTGCATGTCTTTCCCTGGTCCCCACGCCTTCTGACCAGTGTGCACACCCTCTCCCCAGACACTGACCTGAATGCGGTCATCCGGAAGGGTGGGCTGCTGAAGGACGTCCACATGCGCTACATCTTCTACCAGCTCCTGCAGGCCACCAAGTTCATCCACTCAGGGAAAGTCATTCACCGGGATCAGAAGGTGCGGCCCTCAAGCATCCACGTGGCCCTGGCTCCCAGCCCTCATCTGGCCCCATCAGCCCTCAGCCCACCTCCTCTCTCCAGCCATCCAATGTCCTCCTGGATGCCAACTGCTTGGTGAAGCTCTGTGACTTTGGCCTGGCCCGCTCCCTGAGTAGCCTCCCTGAGGGTCCTGAGGGCCAGGCCCTGACAGAATACGTGGCCACACGCTGGTACCGAGCTCCAGAGGTGCTGCTATCCTCACGCTGGTAACAGCAAGATACCCCCAAGCCACCCCTACTTTCTCAGGTCCCCCCAGGGTTGCTCTCCTGCCCAACCAGGGCTCCAAGGCCTTCCTGTACCTTGGGCCTGCCTTGGTCCCATGTGTGCCCTCACCTCACCCTCCCAGAACCTCCACCTCCTGCCCCTGCCCTACCCTCACCTCTGCCTCTAGGTTCGCCTGTGCCTATATCCTTTCCTGTCTCAGGTACACCCCTGGGGTAGACATGTGGAGTCTGGGCTGTATACTGGGGGAGATGCTGCGAGGGAAGCCCTTATTCCCAGGCACATCTACACTCCACCAGCTAGAGCTGATCCTGGAGACCATTCCGCCACCGTCAGAGGAGGGTATGCATGTGTGTGGAGGATCCCACCTCAGCAGCCTGGCCACCAGTCACATGGGATGCTGAGGGTCAGAGAATACAGCTGTGGAGAGACAGTGGTTGACAGGCCAGGACCATACAGGTTCTAGATCCAGAGGGATGGGGAGGATCCAGAGGACCAGGAAGGAGCCCCAGGAGATCGGCAGCTCTTCACTGGGCCCTGCTGGTGGAGGGCCTGGGGCGGAGCTTCTGAAGGCTGGTGCCAGGAGCAATTGCACAGAGGCTACAAGGGAGGCAGCACCTGGCATGGGGACCATAAGGGCCAAACAGTGACCTGGCATGGGTCCATGAGGGCCAAGCCAGTGGGTCAAGACAAGGTCCCCAAGGGATTGGAGTGACAGGGGCAAGAACTGTCACTGTGCTGGGCGCTCAGGTAGGGTGCTAAGGGAAGAGGTGGAGGAAGGCAGTGGTGGGGCTGTGGTAGTTACTTTTGGGGGTGCAGGGCCAGAGGGAGACTTACCACCGGCTGGGATATCCCTGTTCTCTTCCCACCTCTGCTTGGTGAAGCCAGCAAGGGATTCATCCATGGAGGTGGGGCACCAGTGCACACCTGTGTGAACACACCCATGTGTTGAAGGTGGAAGAGTACAAGGGAAGGGCATACGTCAATGCTTCTGGACATGTGGGGGCATACAACAGCTATTGGGGGTTTAAGCCCTGTCAGATGGCAGAAGTCCTACAGAAAGGGTACACTCTATGGGGCCAGAGGAGGTAGCTTATTCCAGATTCCCCTGAGCTGCCCCACCCAACCAGGGTCACCTTGTCACACCACCTTCTGCCACTCACCCCCCAGACCTCCCGGCTCTCGGCTCAGGCTACAGCACCTCCATTCTGCACCACCTGGGGTCCCGGTGAGTTGGGGCACTTTAGTGCAGGGTAAAGAATGGCCTGTCTCAAGGGATTGGGGCCACCTTCCTGCAAGGTTACTGAGGTTACTTTGTGCCAGTCCACACCCATCCACGTGTTCGAGATGGTAGTCCCAGCAACTACTAGACACACTAAAAATCAGGAACCCCAAGTGTTGATCCAGTCCTGCTGTTGGGGGTGGGTACTGGGGACTGGGGACTGCAGGGGAGCAAGGCCTGGGTTAGCTGGAGTGAGGCCTGAGAGCTACATCAGAGCATGGAGAGGAGGGCACCAGAAGGAGGCAGGAGTCTCGTGACTCACTCAGGCTGCCTGCAGGTCAGGCATGGAGGGATCCACTGAGGCAGGAGGGTTGGGCAGGCTCCAGGATTGGAAGCTGAGCCCCAGGTCATAGGAATGGATCTAGGAAGGGTCCTGTTGGAGTCTTGGAGATGACACACAGCCTCCTGCAGGTCACGGCAGATGCTGGATGCCCTCTTGCCACCAAACACCCCCCCAGAGGCCCTGGACCTCCTCAAGCGACTCCTGGTGTTTGCACCGGACAAGCGGCTTAGCGCGGCCCAAGCATTGCAGCATCCCTACGTTCAGAGGTGGGGGAAAGAGAGCAGCCCAAGAGAGAGAGCTCTCCAAGTGCAGGGCCTGGGGTAGGAGCCTGAGGGGTTCACTTGACTGCAGCCCAGCTTTCACTTCTCCTGCACCTGCTTCTCTGGCTCCCTGAAGGTTCTACTGCCCCAACCACGAGCGAACATGGGAGGCAGATGTGCGGTTGCGTGTGCATGAAGGAGTCCAGCTGTCTGTGCCCGAGTATCGCAGCCGCATATATCAGGTGCTCTGGCCCAAGACCCCGTTGATCCCTATCCATGTGCACCCTTGAGGCCTCCTCCAACCTTGGTAACTTCTAATGACCCCCACTCCCACACTGTGCACTAAGCGCTTCTTCCCTCCTACAGATGATCCGGGAGCGGAGGGGAAACTGCAGTGTCCCAAGAGAAGAGGGCCTGGGGGCCGCCCCACCAGGGGTAGAGCCCAGGATCTCCCGGCTCCGGACGCAGCTCCTCAAGCTCAGAACTGACTCTCAGTTCCCTTCTGGGGCACCTGCAAAGAACCCTGGACTCAGGCCTCAGAGTAACCCTAGTCATGACCCCAAGCATGGTGTGTGACTTTTGCCCACTACCCACATGAAGCATGGACCCTGCCCCTTCAGTGTGGGATCACCAGCTTTGCTTGGCACCTAGCTCCTAACCCTGGGGCTGATTTTCTGACCCCACAGAAGCCCCCAGCACAGACAAGAACATCCCCAGGCAGAACTCAGCCTCCCTGCTCCAACCTCCTCCCCCAGGGAGGGGGGAAAGGCCTCTAGGGGTAAAGGCGGAGCCCCCCTCCACATATTTATGGGTAAGCCAGCCATGGTGTGGTGGGCACAGGAGGAATCCTCCCTCTGTACCTTTCAGTGACCTCATGACATACTCCTTCCCAGGGGAAGCCAAGTGCAACGGGGGCAGTGCCTTCCCTGACCTCACAGGCCATCGCCCAGGTGGCCAACCAGGCCCTGATCCGCAACGACTGGAACTGGGGTGGTGGGATGCAGGTAGCCTGTGTTCGACAGGTGAGCCCTGGCCCCAATCTGGCCCTCCCCATCCTTCCTATTTCCCCCTCTGATGTTGGCTCAAACCTTTCAAAGTCCTCTCCTCTACTCCTATCCTTCTGATCCTGCTCTCCCCCTTATGCTGATCCTCAACTGCCTGCAGGTCCCTACCCAGCTTCCCCTGGAGCTTCGGCCTGGCCGGAGGATGTTCAGCACCTCTGCCTTGCAGGGGGCCCAGGGGGCTGCCAGGGCTGCACTTGGGGGCTACTCTCAAGCTTATGGTACCGTCTGCCATTCAGCACTGGGCCACCTGCCCCTGCTCCCGGGACCCCTCATGTGAGCTATCCTACCCCCTTCAGCCCAGGCCCCCATGCTTTCAGCCCCAGCCCCTCAATTGGGCACCCCTCCCCTAGTCGCCAGCACTCCTCAGCCCACTTCCCTGCTTTGCCTGGCCACATTCGAGTCCTGGGAGCTTGTCTGGGACTCTTTAGGGGAGGAAATGAAGATCCCACCCCAGCCCCAATGACTTCCTCCAATAAAGTCTTATCTGTCCCCAACCAACCATCCATCTTTTATCCACTCCCTTTCAAGGGACTCCCTTCTAAGGCCACAATACCCCCTAACTGAGGGCCCCCAGTCCTTTCCCGGAGCCCACCCTCTTCTGAGGATTCCACTACTTCCATCCTGAAACTTCCATCCCTGAGCCCAGTAGGAAGCTGCAGTGGTCACTGTCTGCCATCACTCCCAGGACTCCTGGCCACCCAGCATCCAGCATGGAGTTTTTCTCTAGGATCATTCCAACTAAGGCTGGCCTGTGAAGTGCCTTGGGCAAAGTCCTTTGTCCATAGATGCCCTGCTGCTTGCTACCCAGCTTTGTCTCTGAGCATCATCAGATCCCAGCCTGGGGCCACTACAGGGTTCAGTCTGCACCCTAGGGTGGTCTTGCAGGGCAGGGACTTGTGGACCCATTGCCTATGGCCACCCATGGCCATGCTTGTGACCCTGAGCCAGAAGGGAGAAGGGGAGAGAGAAGGGGACAGCCCCCTGACCCTCCCCCAGCCCCCAGAGACTCTGTCCTTGCCCCACTGTCAGGGACTCCAGCCTGCACCCCCAAAACACAGTGACTGCACCTGGTCTGGGAGTCTTGGTAAGGGAAGAGCGGGGGGCAAAATGTCTTGTGGGGTAAAGGCTACCTCCTCTGGTCACTATCTGGCAAAGGACTTGGTGTGAGTTGGGGCCAGAGAGAGGTGTGGAGAGCCAGAGAGATCAAAGGAGCCCAGGGGGCACAGAACTGTGTCCCATGGCACCAGAAGGGCCCTGAACCACACCTGACCTCGGCTGGGGCTGGAACAGAGGGAGGCCACTTCCCAGTTGCCCAGCTGAAGGAGCTCATAGTCTGAAGGGTGCAGCCTGTGTTGTGGTGGAGCTTCGATTGCCAGAGCTCTGTTGGCACAGTAATGGGAGGGAAGGGGCATGTGGGCAAGGCAGAAAGGACAAGGTGTGGACAAGAGGGGTTGAGCAGAAGGTCAGAGCCTGTGCTGCAATGCTGCTGGGCCTAGTGACTTCAAGAGATTCAAAAAACAAATAACTGGGTTTGGGAGAAGGAAGGGCTGTGGATGTGGCAAGCCAGAGAAGCCACGGGATTTGTTTCCTGAAGGTGCTGCTAAGGGGCCGGCTTGTTGAGTTTCAGGAGCCTGAGACACAGCCCCAAGGTAATGAACAAGCAGGACAGATGAAGCTGTGGGAGAAAATGCCACAGTCAGGTGGGCTTGAGAGGCCAGGGAATTACTGGGGGTGAAGGCTTGGCACTGGACAGGGAAGAACTCAGGCTGGACAGGAACTGAGAAGTGTCTATTAAAGTGTCTGTCAGGCATGGTGAGCAGGTGACCCAGGTGCATGCCTAGTGTGTAGTGTGTGCCTACATAGAGGGCTATCTTAGGAAGGGGAACAGGAGACCGCTGGAAGTGCAGCTGTAAAGTGGGGCGGGGCCAAGAGGCAGATGGAGTTTGTTAAGATTCAGGCAGAGGTGTTGGAGGTATAGATGGTGAGGGGTCTTTAGTTCTCTCCTCAGGGATGGGTGGTGGTGTCTACAAGGGAAACTGGGAAGGTCACATGGTTAAAGGTTGTAATGTATAATTATACATATTTGGAAATGCGTTGGAATATTGTGTGTACTGTTTTTTAAACACCAAAATGCACTGCATCACATTTTAGGAGATGTCTTACCGAACAAGATGTGAAGGGTGCAGACAGGAGGCTGTGAGGGCCCTGGCTGGGCTACAAGCCTCTGACCTCTCTGTGGGCAGAATGTTCCATTTCCTTTGAGAGCCTGCCTGCTCAGTGACACACCAGACAGCACCAAGACAAACTTGCTAGAGAGCACACCAAAGCCAAGAGACTTCAGGCTCATCCACCTCCCAGGGGACCTTTTCCACCTAGTCAGAAGTCCCTGCTGTTATCCCTAAACAGGTGGTGGCTTTGGTAACCAGTAAACGGTGAGGGAGTGAAAGTGGGGCCACTTCCCTTCTCCACCTGCTGGAGTGAGAATTGCTGCCTTTGTTGGGTAGTTTTTTTTCCTAAGTCCTTTCCCTCTTGGGATTTCTTATAGATAAAAAAAATTGAAAAGAAATAGCAGAATACAGAAGTGCTAATCTCACAATCCTGGCATCTAATAGTAGAGGGCTTTCTAAGCATTTGGCACCAAGATGTGTCATTCTGAGTCAATTAAAATTATCTGGAGACAAAAAAGATACAAGATAGGTAAGCCAGAAACCATGGATCCTTCATGATAGTGACAAAAGAAAATGACCCAAGGACAGGGTGGAGTTGGGATCTGCTGGGTACCTACAGGGCAAGAACCACATCTGCCTGCAGGGGTGTCCAGGAACTGTGCCTGTTAGAGCAGGGGCTGGGCTCAGGCTCCACCAAACCCTGTCCTCTGCGCTCACCTGGCCCATCATCCATGAAGGACAAGTACTCCAGATCCAGCCTCTCTCTGGGGCATGGCTTGAGATAGCGCCTGTGCAGGGACACTTCATGAAGCCGGGGCCACAGGTTGTCTGTCCAGATCGTGTTTTTATTGTGCTGCAAAGCCCAGCGCTCCCCATCCTCGTTCTTGCCCAATGCTGACTAGAGTGTTGCTGGAGGAGTGGGCAGACCTGGTCAAGGCAGCTTGGTTTGGGCTGGCAGGACAGCCCCTCAGGAGTCCCTTGTGCCCCCTTCCCAGCAGACTGCCCTATCCAGCTTCCCTGTCACTACAAGAGGGGCATCCTTTGGGTCCAGCCCCACCCCTCCCTCACAAACTGCCTGCAGCCAACTCAGGCTTCCCTCAAGAAGGTGGGCCACCAAGAAAGACACCAAGCAGCAGCAAAGAGACAGGGAAATCCAAGCAGGAAAGAAAGTGCAGTGCTTGAGGTGGGCACAAGAAAGGGTGAGCCCTGAGGAGGGAACAGGTCCTGAGACAAGGAGAAAGGGAGGATGGGGCTGTCAGGACAGCAAGGGGGCAACAGAGCCAGCGGGCTGTGAAGAGAGGAAAACCCTGAGAACAAAAGCCCTGAGGGAACAAGAGACCACAGAGAGAATGGGGGATTGAGGCACAAAGAGATGGGTCCCTGAGGTGAATGAAGGCCCAAAGGAGACCTGAGCCCAAAGAGATGGTGGAGGCAAACGCTGAGTGAGGGGAGGGTGAGGGTCCTGTGATGAAAGTGCCAAGCAGAGAAGGGAGCTGGGAAGAAAGGCACTGGTGGCAAAGGTCTGGAGCTCCAAGACTGGGGAGACCAGGGGCAAAGGTGGGGACAGCTGCAGACAGAGTCCCAAGTGAGAACTGGTGCACTCTGCCAGACCCCAAACTTGCCTCCGCCATGTGTCTGGCAGATACCATCAAGCATAGGAGCGTGGCTCTCCCTGCCCAGCTGTTACCCTGGATGATTGTGGCAGTGATGCAAGCACCTGGCCTGGGTTGGTGGGCCAGGAGATTCACTTCTTGCCTTTGAATGTGCCCAAAATCTTGGGCACGAACTTTCCCACCTTGCTGTCCCTGGTGCCCTCCTCCACCGGGCCCTCCCCTGTCCCGGGGCTGCCGGCCTCCTCCTTTTTGCAGAAGACCTCAAAGCGGCTATACACTCGCTTCTCCTTGCGCATGCTCTCCATGCGGCGCAGCAGGCGGTCGCGCTCCTCCACGCTGGCTGGCAGTGTGCGGCTCAGTCGGCCTTGGGCTCCCAGGCTGTCCGAGCGGAAGATGGCTGAACACTTGTCCTTGTCGGACATGTCTGGAGCCAGGCCACCGGCAGCTGGTGGACGGCCTAGCTCTGGGCTGCTGTGGGCCGGACCAGGACCCGGGGCAGGGACCCCACGGTGCTTCTGTCCGTGGGCACTGATCTGCTCCAGAATGGCCTTTGTGTCATCCCGCAGGTTGCTACTGTACAAGGCATTAGCTGTAGCTGAGGCTAGGCGTGCCCGCGGGCCACGTTCCTCTCCTGCGGCAGCCTCTGTGCTGTCACCCCGGCCCAGTGATGGCCGCCGAGGGCTCTCAGGCTGCCCGTTCTCCTGCGGCACCGAGAAGCCACTCTCATCCTCTGTGCGCCGCTCACTCTTGGGGTTCAGCAGCTGCCTGAGGCGCAGGGAGCCTTTGCGCAGGACTTCCATGGGGCCACTCGCCACCTCCTCTGCAGACCCAGTCTTTGGAGACTCGCCAGAAAAGGTAAGGGTGAGGCTGCCCCTGCGCTCGGGCACGGGGGGCACCGGACTGCCCCTGCGCTCTGGCACGGGGGGCCCCGGGCTGCCCCTGCGCTCAGGCACTGGGGACACCGGGCTGCCCCTGCGCTCGGGCACAGGGGGCACTGGACTGCTCCTGTGCTCTGGGTATGCTGAAGTGGGGCTCCCCTTCTGCTCTATAAATCCTGTAGTTGGACTGCCTCTCCGAGTGGGAAACCCAGGTGTGGGGCTCCCCTTCCGCTCCGGGTAGGCCGAGGTGGGGCTCCCTTTTGGCTCAGAATGGGGCACCTGGTGTGCCCCGGGCCCCTCCAGAGGAGGCAGAGAGCTGTCTAGCCCTTGTGGGAAGGCAGAGCGGCCCTGGGAAGAGAGGAAGCGGGAGGGCAGGCGGTCGGTGCCGCTCCGGCCCAGTGTGTCGAGCAGCTGTGCCGCGGTGACTGTGGCGGCTCCCGGTTGCCGCTCAGCCTCCTGGTGCAGCTGCTGCGCAAAGGAGTCGCGTAGGTCGAGCAGGCAGCTCTCAAGGCTGCGGCGCTCGCCACCCATGCCACCTGGTGTCGACACCTCTTCCCGCCATGCCTGGGACACAACCGCCTTGCTGTGGCTAGCGACAGTGACAGCACCGCCCGCGCCACCAGGGTCACGGGCCGGGCCCTTGTACTTCTCCAGTAGCTCAGCCACTTTGGCAGAGGCAGTGGAGCGGACAGCCTCCCCACCGGGACCCAGCGTCTCACTGACTGTCTGCTCCTTGTGCAGCAACTGCACCTTCTCCGTGGAGGCCGCTGCGGCCCCGCCCGCGCCTTCGGCCTGAGACGCGCTGAAGATGAGAGAGGAGCGCAGCCTGGAGCTGCGCTGGATGAGCGGGTTCAGGCGAGAGCGGAAGGAGTCCTGCTTGACCAGGCCTGTCTCCTCGGAGCCCTCGCGCTCAGGGCCGTCGCCGCCGGCGCCG